TGGCCGCCAGTCGGCCATTCGAACTTGATCTGAAAAAAAAAATGACGTGCATCAAGGTCCTATTATGTTTAATGTATGTACCAAATTTGAATGAAATCTGTCCATGCATAACTGAGATCCGGGTCCGGAATGGTGAAAATGTGCGATTTCAATGCATTTTCGGCCTTAAAGCGGCCGCCATTTGGCTATCGTTAATGAGATCATGAAACAAATGCACATACATATTTGTGACATGATGTACCTTGTGTGTGTGAAGTTTTAACTCGATCAATCCAAGCATGTCTCAGATACGGATCCAGAACTGAATTCTTTAAAACAAAATGGCCGCCAGTCGGCCATTTCAAACCCGATCAAAAAAAAAAATGATGTGCATCAAGGTCCTATTATGTTTAATGTATGTACCAAATTTGAACAAAATCCGTCCATGCATAACTGAGATCCGGGTCCGGAATGGTGAAAATGTGCGATTTTGATGCATTTTCGGCCTTAAAATGGCCGCTATTCGGCTATCGTTAATCAGATCATGGAAAAAATGCATGTGCATATGTCCCATATAATGTGTGATGTATGAGTGAAGTTTGAACTTAATCGGTCCATGCATGTTGGAGATACAGGTGATCACGGACGCACGGACGGACGCACACAGGGCAAAACATAAGTCCCCGTTTTCGGAATGCGTCCGAACGGGGACTAATTAGTAAAAGCTGATTGTGCCATTTGCGATAATATAGATCCATTGTTTCTAACTTACTCTGTCTTTTTCAACTATTGCTTGTTGTCTACTTCTTTCAGCTTCAAGTTCAGCTTCACTGTCAGTTTCATATTCCGATGATGATTTCTTGTCTTCATTGTCGCTGTCTAACTCAGCACATGCTTTGTCCTGCAACAGTAGACATTTACATATTAAAGAAGTCAATTTGCTTGTGATGTACATGTACCAGGGTTCCATCATGAACAATTGTAATGCAGGAAATCTGACAGCAACATATTAAACATGACTGCCAATGTTTAGACAACAATATTCAAATAACCCAATGAGATAATGTAATTTGTCGATTTGTGAAAGTACTTTTGAATCCACCCACCACATCAAATTTATCCCAAGCTTTGAAATCATAACTTCTAATTCTTCGTTTCTTCTCTTCCTCTTTAGCTCTCTCCTTCTCCAATGTTTTCTCCTTCTTTTTCTTCTTCTTGGGTCTCACTACTGAATTTCTCACTGGAGGTAGGCTCTAAGAAAACAAAATCATGAGAATATGAAAGGAAATGTTTACATATTGAATGGTATGTCTAGAAGGTCTATTTTGGAATTCTATTTTGTATCAATGGATGCAATTTAAAATCAAAGAAAGCTTAGAAAGAACTCCCATGTGCTGAGAGTATTGGAGACACATTAAATATAATTCGAAATTACTTAGCTGAAAACTAATTATGCAAATCAGAAAATTAATATGACCAGATTTGAGTGTAAAACTAATGAGGTCTGCGCAATGTAACAGAAAATCTATGTCTCCAAGTTTAATTGAAATGTGATTAGAACCAAAAAA